AGCCACAAAGGCTCTGGGCTACCACAGGGATCAGAAAAGCTTCTTCCTCTCCAGCTCCAGCGTTACCAGCTCCCACCCACTAGTGCCAGCTGAACGCAAGCACGTTCTCTTAGTTTTTGGTGCATTACTAAAGTGTTCCAGTTCCCTGGCTTTGTGGATGAATTTATTTTACAGATGGAGTACCTTAAAGTTTGTTAATTGCCTTAAAAAAGCTTTTTATTAAAGTCAGCTGCAAGGAAAAGTAAAAAAATGTTCATTTACCAAATTCAAAGTCGATAACTCAATATAAAAATTCTACGAAGAAGTTTGTTGTCGTTCTTAATAAAAAAGACAGGATGAAGTAGGTTTCTTTTCTTCCTTCCCATGTAAGGTTCAGCTAATGACTGGCCCCTAGCTACTCCACCTCCAATAGCCCCCACCCCTAGGTCACCACGCCTGCAATCTTTTATTCTTTCATATTGTAGGTGGCTCTTCAGTACTTAGCTGTGATTTCAAGCCCCAGCTCAGCCTCTGCACTCTCCTCCCCTCCCAGGGTTTGCTGACTCTGCCCCGGGGAGGAACGTCCCTGTACCAGTCTCCACCGGCCTTGAAACGCCCGAATCCCCTCCGGCATGTCTGAGTGTCTCCATCACCCCGGCAGCAAACACGGTCAATAACACCCAGTAATCAGCTCGGGCATTACTACGTTATTTAGCTGGAAGCAAAATGGTGCTCCCACCTGCTGAGAAAATGTTTGTATCTTAGGGCGATGGTTTGTCCATGGACTGCCAAGAATAAAATTCCTGTAAACTGATGATCCTGTTTTTCAGAAAAAGGCTCGTTGCAAGTCGCTAACTGGCTGAGACATCGCAGCACTCACCCACTCTGGGGTGGTAATGGGGTTCGGGTGATTTAACCCCACATGCCATCTGGAGAAATATTGGGGCAGCTTTTTTTCAATGATTCCTTGATGCCCTCTTCCCAGAAGGTTTCAGAAAACCTCACAGAAACTTTCTGGCCAAACACTTTGAGAGGATAAAGCCCCTTTACTTGAAACTACATTATTACCCTCGACTCAACTTACGCAGAATCCAACGAATCAAGAGCAGAACAACTGAGGAACGTTTCCTAGATTTATGGTGAACAACGGGACTACCTGGTGCTGCCAGTCCCACATCCTGCAGGGATGCTTATTCGTCCCGGGTCGCACGGCCCCAGCCCATGCAGCCGTGGGCAGCCGGCCATGCCAACGCGGGCCTGCTGCCGTGAACACCCAGCTCCGAATGCCGGACTCCGGGTGTAAGCTCGTCCCAGCTCGAAGCTGGCAGCCCAACACGAGCGTCCTCCCCAGCGTGCCGGGGTCGCAGCGCCCATGAATCCCGTGGGCGAGCACTGGCAGCTGCCCAGTGACAATGACACCCTGTCAGGTTGACGGTTGACAAGAATCTGTAGATCATCAGCAAGAGGAGGGCAGGACGGTGTCCTGGGGAGCAGAGTTAGAGCCTCAAACCTCGTTTTGGGATGTTTCTGAAAACACTGCTTTTATTTTTTTAATCCCTACTCTGAGGTTACTTTTACAAGTTTGACTGGACTACAACCAAAACCAAAAACGTCTTCTCACAAATTGAAAGGCCTGTACTTCAGCCAGCTCCGCTCTGCAGTTTAATTGCTTAAAAGCAGAGGCCATGTGTTGTGTTCTCTCAGGGGTACATGGGAGGTGAAAGGAAAGACAGTGAAGGAAAAAAATAAACTTCAACCCTTAGGATAAAATGAAATAGAACTGCTCAAGGGCTATAGCAGCCTAAAGATCAACGACACGAAGACAACTCTCAAGGACAATCTTTCCTTCCCCATGCCTTTTGTACAAGCACATGTTTCCAGCTGATGCTCTCCTGGTCCCCTAAGCACACAGCCACAATTTGAAAGGTTTTGCAAGTTTAATGGGATGGTCATCATCTCAACAAAAAACATTTCGCGGGGGTTAAGACATCACTTTCCAACCTCCTGAGCAAATTAACCTCCCTGCTCACAGGCTGTATTTTTCAAGTCCCTGCTTGGTGATTTCTGATGAGATTCCTAAGGTTACGACTTAAAAGTTGCACTCTATATTTCATCCTGAAGCACCGCGTCCCTTTAGCAGGCTGCCAGATTTATTATTCCACAGGCTAGGACGGTACATCATGTGTTTAAGAAATGTCCAAAATATTCCAAAGTGAGCTCTTTCCATCACACGTGAGCTCTGTTGTTTACCAGTGCTGACTACTAACACCCCGTTATGCATTTTTCGATCAAGTTCATTTTAATACCACATAGATGAGGCCCCTATACTCTTGCCGCAGCCCTCTTAGATTGGGCAAGTTCTATCCAGGCACAGCTTCCCTCGATTCCCCGTACCAGTAGATTACTTCTGAGATCCTAGGAACTGGGGTTGACATCCTTTGTCTTTTCATAGGCACGTTCACACCTGCACAGGTACGAAATAAAGACTCTCCAGTAGAAAAGGGAGGAGGAAACGGGTGTTCGTGCCTTGTTTTCTCAGAGAACATAAAAGCAAAAGCCCCTGCAGCTGTCTGGGGCACGTGCAGGCACCGCTGCCGCAGATCCACCCCTGTTCTGCCACGGCTCTTCTCACCCCCCATGGGAAAGGACCCCTGTGGGGGCACCTCACCTCTCTCTGAACTACCTCTGCACTACAGGAGTACGAAAGAGCAGCCCTGCTTCGTGCCTGAAGAGATGTCTGCGAACGGTGCCATTCCCATTCTTTCCAACTTCCATCTCACAACTCCTGATTCAAAAATGGCTAAAAAACCAAACTCGAACTGCTGAAGCCAATTGCAGCTTCATTTGAACTTCTCTGCACTGCAGAAAACAGGGGGTCTCGATACACAATTTCAGCCACACGAGACCGGCAGGAGCGATGAACTTCGTGGCACAAAAGCGTAACACGTACATCAGCAGTGAAGCTGTAAGTCAATCTGTCCTGCCTTTTTTAAAGTACAAAAGATGTCCATCTATATCCCCAAGTTAAAAACAGATGATGGAGAGCAAGACAGGGACATCACTCAGCTCCTTGTACCTAATTTTGTTGTATTTCCTCTCTAGTCCACAAAACCCAGAAACTTTCTACAGCCCTGAGCAGTATTTTCTTTCACCTCTCCACATTTGCTACGTGAGCTTCATTTCAGCTCTTTAACAGAGAGTTTTCTGCCTTCATGGCAAAAAAGGAAGGCATCAAGATAATTCTGGGGAGACAGCAGTACAAAGCAGACGAGCGATGATGATCCCAGCAGCTAGACACAGCCCTGCCTACCTGCTTTCAGAAGGGTGGGCACACACCCTTGGGCTAAGCGGGTTATGGAGAACCCCAGAGGGTCCCCGCACGTGGTAAACCATCAGATTAGACCGTGCTCGCAGTAAAGCAGCTTGTTTCCTATGAAACAACGTTTCTGGCCTTTGCATGAGCAGTTTGAGAAATATGAAAAGAAACAGGGTCTCGTTTTGCAAAGTCCTGTAACGTGAGCATCAGCAATGTGGGAAGTCGGACCTCCCTCCCCTCATGACTTCCAGTTACTGCAACCAAGCGCATAGATTTTTAACACGAATTCCTCAGAGGATGCTTTAATGAATAAACTAATGAAAGTATAATACTTAACCAAAACCATTTACTCAAAGAATAAAATCCTTTGCATTTTTCTCATCTGCTCTGTAAAGCAGATATTTATAATTTTCATTTATTTATATTAAAATCTCATGAAAGACATGTACCAGATTGCGCCTGACAGACAGCCATGTAGTATTTCCAAACTTCAGTTAAATGAAAAGGCGGAGAGATGACTAACGCTGAGCTGCTTATTTGAATTTACTCAGCACTGAGGAGCCAGAGAAAGAAGGGGCTGGGTACAGCACAGCGCACGGCTGGACCCGGTGAAAACCATCTCGGCTGATTTGAGCCTTCGACCGAACTCAGACCTTTTTGCGGTTCATCCAAACTCTGCACAGTTGGAGACTTGGGTAAGTGGGACCAAAAGCTGAACCCTTTCCAATTTCAGCTTTAACGCTGTAAAAGATTCAGCCCACACCTTGCAAAACAAAACTTCCTTTTTCCTTTCAACTTATTCAGGGTTTTCCCTTATTTTTCCTCAGTATGGAAAGGGATTACTACGTTACAGTTGTCTGTAGCTGCGGACACTCAGGGCTCTTCAATGCTTAATGATGCACTGCCACAATATGTTTGGGAACAATTGCATATAACAGAGCAGCTCTATTGCCATAAAATGTCTCTGCGGCAGGGGATTCAGGAGAACCCAGGAAAGACACCGCTGCAGCAGACTTGTTTACTGAAAGAACCGAATTTGACATTTAAAAAAAACATCTGACATTATGTTCTACTGTAACACAGCAGCTCTTAAATGGAAAGTGGAGTGGAAACAGCAACAGCAGACGCAGAGAAGGGTTTAGCAGAACTAACTTGCTGAGTTTACACTTGATCTGATACATTTTAATTTAGCTGAAGGTAATTTTTTAAAAACCAGCATAGCCAAGAGCAAGGTTAAGCAAAAAGACACAGAGAACAATAAAAGATTACCTTTGGCTTACCTCTGTTCAGCAAGGGCTGTTGCTGGCAGGGAGATAAATCACAGTTTGTTTAACAGCTACTAAGCATTTGTGCTCTCAAGACAGAGGTGTTAACCTTGCTGAAGCAGCTCTACCCCTGTGACACTCATTTCCAGTCCAACCACTTGAAACCCTTAACTCACCATGGTTAAAAAGAACACGTATTTGTAAACCCTGACCACAGCAGAAGCACTACTGAAACACAAACCTTTCCATTCCAACAGGAACGGAAAGCGACTGCTCCGATACAAGGCAGAATTATCAATTGGTTATTGGCGGTTGTAGTTGCTGGTTTCTCCTACCTGCACTGAACCATTTATTAGAGCAATTACAGATTAATGGCATCATTAGTTTCTTTGTCTCCTATTCTTTAGCAAAGACAGTAAATAATAGTTTAACAAACTCACCAGCGGAGTGTCTTTCCCCCCGACGATGCTGAGTCCCAGACCTGACCGACCCTTAGATATCTCTATAGTCATCTCCTGCCCCGGAACTATAGGACACGTGGCTGGATCCACAGGCAACGGAGGTGGAATGATGCCTAAGAACATGAAAAAGTAAAGAATTGAGTCACAGTAGCCAATGAGAAAATGAAAACCATCAAAGGAATCGTAGGAGAGCAACTAATTAATCTCGTGTTTTGCTCAACACCTTTACAAATCTAAATTGAACTACTACTCCGAGTCCCTTCTACCTCGGAACAACTCCAGAGCTCTGGGAGTAAAGGTTCAGAGTGAACGTCTGGGAGGAATTTACTTCAGTTATAACTTATACAGGTCAGATCATGATGGCAAGGTGTGTTATTCCATGCAGGAAAGATAAGGCCATGTCCCAGCACTGTGGAACGGGCAGGATGTTCCAGATTGCCTTTTCTTCTGGTTTTATTTTAATTGAATGAGGAACAACATCTTTGTACATAAAAGTAAAGAGAAACAAGCAAAGACACCTTCAAGCTCTCAAAAATTACAAAATGAGAGAAAAATACAAACACTTTCTAAAATAACTTAAAAGGTTATTTAGTGGTCAGAGAAAAAACTCTCAGCAAATGTTATCTGGAGAAAAAAGGCAAGATCCATCCTGGATTAGGGTACTAAATACAGGCTGTACTGGTGGAAAAAATAACTGGTTCATACTACGGCTGGTGACTTCTGCCTCTGGAGAAAGGTAAGTAGGTGCTGGCACCAGGGGTATCTCCTGTAGCTTGACTGCTACTTTCGCTGAAGTTTTGGACTGTTTGATCTGGTTGAGGACCTAAAAAGCAAAGCAGAAGCAAAAGACATCAATCACAGAAAGGCACGTTATGTGGACATCATCATCAGTTATTGATTATTGTACCTTACTAAATCCACTGGATCAACAGAAGGGAAACCATCAATAAGCACAGATGAACTGAAAACATTCTCTTCATAAATAAATGGAAAATCAGGATGACTGGATAACTGGGCTTCCAGAAATGCTCATGTAGGAAGCAGGGACCCTTCAGCTTTCTTAACTGTCCTCTCATACAAATAATGTGGGAGGGGGAGTTTTTGGGGCTTTTTTTAACTTTCACACAGCCAAGAACATCCTTGCCATTACCCTGTGTGACTGCTTCCACATAATTAACGAGAAGCAAGTTATTTTTTTAAGTTTGCCCCCAAGAAAATTATTTTGTCTCCTCAGTTAACCCCTTGCCCCCACAAATCACTCAATCTTCACCTAGATCAAACCCCCAGCACCCCCCCTTATCAGCTAACATAACCACACATACATTTTCCGGGAGCTGCTCCTCCACCTCCCGCTGATCCGCCAGCGCTGGCCTGTCAGCTTTACATTTCACATCCTAAAAAGGCAAAAAAAAAAGGAAGTGAGATGTATTGAAAACGTCGCATTAGCTTAGATAAAACATCCTCCAGAACTCAAAATGCTGATTCTAGGCAAACACAGTGCTATTTGGTCATACAAGAGCACTTGTACCATAACAGAAAGCTGAAGCCCTGAACTTAGAAGCAGAAAAACCAGTATGAATACAGGGAATATCAGGAACTACTAAAAAACCACTGAATGGTTTAGAAGGCATGCAACGTAAAGAAAGGGCGCTTTTTTTTGAGATTATCACACACGGTCTATGTTGTTCCTGAGCAGTAAGGTCTAAACAAGAAGGAAGAGCATCATCTGGGGTGCCTGGGACAGCAATTCCCACGCTGCGTGGTGACACGCAGGTGTTTGTGTGACGAGCCTCTAGTGCACAGGGCGCTGAGACCCTTTGGTACCCACGGCAGGATGGACTTCAAAGTCACCCCCCCTCCCTTTTTTGGTAGTCTTCAGCAGCACTGAGCACACTGCCAGCACTTAAATAAAGTATCTGCTTAAAGTGCATCATCCAGCCTCGTTATAAATATCTCAAACAATGGCACTTCATTCACGGGCTCCACTTGGATCCTAATTTCTTTCATATCCTTGCGATACACTAAATATATATATATTTTTTTCCTCTCCTACTTCCAGATAGTCACAGTGTCTTCCCTTTGCTAGCTCTTAGCCAAAGTGCGGACACTGATCACAGTCTTGGTTATCTTACCTTGTGTTAAAAAACCCTGATAAACAGCCTAGTTTTTGGAAAAGCTGAGTACCAGCTTCAAAAGACAACAGAGAGATTCTGCGTCTCAAAAGAATTTTTAATTAAGATGACAATTCATACATTAAAAAAACCCTATATAAATCAAATTTTAGGTAACGACACCAAGCTCGAAAATACTGGCCTTGTTCCCTTAAGTTTTATTATGTTAAATCATGCCAAACCCCACAGGCTTTTTCTTCTTTTCCACTCTGCATTTTTCTCCAAGCCTGCTGTAACTATACAACTGGAACTATTATCCAAAAGGATAAAAAGAAAAAAGATAAAGTGGTGATCTCTTCGTATTATCAGAGGTGTCTGGGGAGAAATGGGAAGACTGCTTTGTCATTTTATGAGAGATTGTTTTAATGAGCAATGAAAAAAATATTTCATACTTCCCCTTTTCATTCTGATACGTGACTAAAATCTGAAACTTCCTCTTGCACATCAAGTAAGCACCACGCATCACCTTTAAATCTCTCTCATCTTCTCCATTTAACTCAGACCATGCTAGAGATGCCTGGGCAAAATAAAAAGATTTCCAGCCCCCCGAGCACCCCACTGTACACTCAGCATTTGCCATAAGCCTGCGACCCGACTGGGTTAACTCAATTCCCTCAAATGCATCCAAAAGCATTTTTACCAAGTCCCTCCCCTTTGCCAATCTTTCAAGTTTTCTGTTTGTGTTAAAGACAGATTATTCTTCCAAGTTCAAAACTTTTAAGGAAAATAAACCCATTCTCACACACCAAACCTCAGGTTAATTATCCCACCTCCTGGACACGGAATTATGTTCACACTCTACCAGGACACCAACGATGCAAGGTACTTCAGAGCACACGACTGCTCAAGCTGTCTTCACCTTCATGAAGTTAAAGGTTTCGAGAGCATCCCAAGGCCCCACATATCAATTCTTTTCCAACGACACCTTACAGAAACAGTCTTCAGAACACCACGACCTTCCATCAGGCCACCTCAAACCTCAGCTAATAAGCACGCAGACCTTGCCTAACACTTCCACTGGCTCCAGTTCAGAAATCAAGTTGTTTTCTTTCCCCTCTCTTATCATCCAAGTCTGCAATGATGTGCATTATATAACTTTATACTTTTTAAAGTGATGAAGTGACAACAAAAAGTATCTTGGGAGAGACTGACAAATTTATCAGCAACAAATGAACGGAGAGTTATTTGGGTGGGTCTTTTTATATTTTTATTGCAGCTGTCACTTGATGAGACATCCGGCCCGTGCTTTGAGCTGTACGTACTTGTGGAAGATCTTTGCTGATAAGCACATACTTCTTATTTACTCAGTGAACCTGATCTTACATGTTGACTTCTGCATTCCTGATTTCTCCTGACATATGACTGAGAACTTCAGCAGCAATGATGACCTGGGCTTTAGCAAAACCCATCATGCTCTGAAAAACAAGGCACTGTTTTCTTTTGCCTCAACAGTCAGTAAAAGGCTGCAAGAGAAATCTCGTTTCCTCAAAACAAGAAGCTGTCTGGTGCCGCACTGCCATGTCAAGGTCTAAATGCCGATGTCTGCAAACCCACTGCCTTCTGGTCAGAAGGGACTGATCACAACCATCGGCATCTACCAAAACAAGACACGCTTCTCAGAAATTCTTGCCATGTAATTTAAAAATCCTGCTTGAAAGAAATATCTGAAATTATGGAGCTGGTTTTCTCCACTATTTTTCATCCATTTATGCCTCCAAACCAAGGGCTGGCCCAACTGAAGGCATTATGGAATGAGCAGTTGGAGCTGTAGGCATTTGAATACTTTTCTAACTCCATCTCCTAGCCCTTAACTTTTCAGCACCTCTTTATCTAACGGAAAAACTAGTAAGTCACCTCTAAGCAAACATCCATGGAACGAAGGCAGGGCAACGCCGCGGCCAGAAGCGACATACCCGCTGCCTCCTGGTCTCACCAGTGACCCGGGACAGGTTGTGCTGCAGCAGGGATAATACTACTGGCCTGCTGGATAAAGTGTTTTGAATTCCAAAGATAAAAAGCAAATTGTAGCAGCCAGTTGCGATGGGTATGGACAATGGGAAAGAAAAACTAGGTGAAGTACTACACTGATGTTCTGCTCACCTAGAGGCTTTTAACAAATACCTGCCTTTGCCTTCTCTTTCCTTTCCACCACTGCTCTGTTCTGGACAGCTCTTACCGCCAAGGCTTTATCTTTTCCTTTTTTTCACCTTTCGGTCTAAACCGCTGTAACTTCTACCCTTTGACTCCACGGTTCCCTTCTTTCTTGCTTCAGTTGAGAAGAAGCTGCCCACATGTGCTGGGCTCCCTGTTGTTCCAGTGGCATCTCTCCACACCCAGCCTGGATTGCTGCAATTTCAACCCCCCCCCCTTAAGTTTGTGCTTCCTCTAACACTGTTCAAAAAGCTGCACAGCACAATATCCTACACCAAAAGTTCATTTTTGTACAATACATTTTATGTATTTTTATCCACTTCTGTCTTTGAGCGATTTTCATATTACCTTGTCATTCCTCAAAAGTTCCTTTGCAAGTTGAGCAAGAACAGCAATAAACCCAGGTGAATTACACCTTTAAATACGTACAATAAAACCCTGATTCATTTGTATTTCAGTGCATCAAAGGAAGATTCTGCACAGGGCTACCAAATACAAATAATTCAACCTTTTTTGTAATCCATTAGGAACACAAACCAACCCATTTGACATGGGTGGTTAATTCTGGAGCTCGAGTAGCATATAACACTTCTGAACTCTTTGGAGTTCATACTCTTTAATTAAATACTTACTAGCTATAGAAGATTATGTATGTTCAATTCATATTTGCAAAACCCAGGACGCACTCTGCAAGAGACATGGCAGAGCAGGAAGAAGACATCTAAGAAGAAAACCACCCGGAAGTGTCCTTACCGGAGGACAGCACACACAGAGTGTGCATGCACAGCAAGTCCCAGCCAATGTACTCCTTGAAAAAGGAGCAGGCTGCTGGGCAAAAAGCCTGTCTCAGCACATTTTATGTACCTCTGGGTTAGTCACTCTTCAGCATACTTAGTAGTTTTCCATTTTAAACTTTTGACATAGAGTCCAAAAAAGAGATTAAACCTGCACCCTGAAGGGCTTTCAGATTTCTGATAATGCACAACCCTGACACATTAAACAACAACCCCCCATCTGTATCAATGAGAGGTTCAGTATTTATTACATGCACGCTGGCAGTACCACATTAAACTAGAAGTTATGGGCTTGATGTAGAAATTACTGAGAGTAACTCGATAGCTATGTTATTCAGGAGGCAAGACCAGATTATGATAATAGACATTTTGGACTTAGAATTTATGAAGCTATGAATGTAAATAAGAATATGATTTACAGATCACTTTTTTTTCTGAAGTTTGTCACACATGGCTGGCAAGATTGGAAACTCAATTCCCCAACTGAGAAAGAACTCAAGAGAGTGCCAAAATGCTACATCAAAACCTCTTATCTCAGTATTTTAACAAATTATACTGGATGCGTGGTTCACAAAAACAATCTACGTAGGTAGAGCTAAAAGCTGGATTCTGCTCTTACATGTACTGGATATTATTTGACAAAAGAGTGCCACAATACTCCAACACAAAGGTGGATAGGAAACAGATCAAGGCAGTGAGCCTGTATTTTCTAAGCTCTGATCGTCATTAAATATTGATTGAAGTCACTTACAGCTTTGTTGGATTCCTCATCAGCCAAACTTTTCATGACAACTTCCAAACTTGGGTCTTCTTCACTGCTTGCAGGTTCAGTGCCACCACGATCCTGGTAGGAAGGATTGGTAAGAGTTTTTAAACAGAGCTATGATCCCCCACAGCAGCTAAAGAAAACATTAGACACGTTTACCCTTTCTTTTGGTTTTCTAAACAAGTAGCAGCATGAAAAGGCAAAAAGATCCACAATTAAAGCATCTTAATGCCAGGAGACAATACAGCGATACACGTTTTGCAAGACAGACCTTGGTCTGCACTTGGGCAGCCCGGAGTACCACGAGGTAGAGCCCTTAGGTGCAGATCAGGGTCAGCTTTCAAGGCCAGACTAACCCCTATCAGCTGTGAGAACCGCTGGGTTTGCATGAAGAGGCTCCTCCAGACTTCTCTCGGGAGGGTGTTGCGCGCGCCCAGCCCGCCAAAGGAAGCGCGGGTCCCTTCCTGCCGTCTGAACGGGCTGGTGGCAGCAGGACCAGGTGCTCCACCCTGGAAGAATCGGTAAAGCCAAAGCTCTCCGGGTTAGAGCCCATGGCCACCAAAGCTCAGCAGGCACAAGCCAGCGTGCAGCACAACCCTCGACTGGAAGGGCGAGTGTAGCTCAGGGTTCAGGCACTTCTGCGTGTCGCAGTGAGCATCCTGCAAACGGCACTCGGTGACAGCTACTGCAGAACCAGCAAATGAAGCCAACGGCCCAAAAGACACAACTATTTTCAGGAAGATGTGCTCCAGAACTTTCTCCAGCATGAAGTTTTCCTCTTTCTGTATGAGATTCCCAACAAAAATGCCCCTTGAAACCAAATAGTGCCGTATGAAGTCGAAAGGCTTGTCTGATCAGGATTTTCTGGCATTTTCTCTAGATAATGACTAGCGTGTCTTTAAGAAGCATATGCTTGCAAGAAAAATTATTTCCTTCCCATAGCAACAATTAAGATAGATAAGAAATGGCATCTTCCAGAGCAAATGATAAATTACAATTCAAAGTTTCTATTATCATTAATTTGTTTACATGCAAAACTTAACGTCTTAATCCTCTTTTGCCCTTGTTCAACCAACAGGTCCTGGATATGGAAAGATTTGTGATCTATCATTTTGATTTATTTTAAAACAGTTTCGATACATTTAAGCCTTTGATCTAAATTTGGAACTGTTCTCCTTCACAAAGTCCAAAAAACTACATGTTTCAAGACCTTCAGTCCTAAAACCAAAATTATTTCTGAATTTTCATTAGACATTTTACATTTAAGTGCACAATGAGAATTACACAAATGTCTCAACCACCACTTCAGCCCGTAAAGCACCCCTGCAGTTGTACAAAGGCTGCCTCTGTTCAGTGCTGCAATGAAATCTCTCATTCTGTGGCTTTCTGATGAATGAAACTTTTTAAAAACAGATATTTTGCAGCAATTAATATACACTATGCTTCTGCTGGCTGGCCCACAGTATTACACTGCAACGTAGCCTTACCCTGTCCTGCAACTCCATACAGTGAAGCAGGACTCTGGTTTAAGGCATATTTACGGGTTATCGCTTTTCATATTAAAACAGCTTAATGTAATAACGAGGTGAGATGAAGAAAGCACACGGTAACTGTGGCACCCTGATACACTAGCCAGGCTCTTCCATGTGGTCTGACAAGGTTCATGTGCAGTGCCTGTAACACACAACGTTACTTATTTGGTGTTCCAAGACTCAAAGCACAGTCAGTTTTGTTTGCTTCACCTAAGGCAGAAGAGCTGACAAAGGAAAGAAACGCCGAGTTCTGTACAACTGCAGCAGCTTTTGCTTACATTTATTTTATGGAATGAAAAGACACCAGCTAGAAGTAAAAACCTGCATTTACTTATAAAACAGACACAATATAAACAGTGAGAGCTTGCCACTGAGGCATGAAGCTCAACCCACAGGCATCTACCTCTAAAGGCAAACACCGCACGTGAGGCTGAGCACTTTGGCTTCCACGTGCTGGTTAAGAGTCTAACCACAGCCGTTTGACCACAGCAGAGAATGTGCCTGAACAACGCTTCCTGTTCATCCTGAAGACACAAATATTAAACCGAGTTGGGACCAAACGCAGGTACTGGAGTCAACCAAAATAAAACAAACTCGGGCTCTGTAAACTGTAATTTGCAATCCACTGGCGGCACCAGGAGCATGCTGTCTTTATGGAGGGGAGGAGGAAAAGCCAAAGCACTGCCCCAAACCGACTCAGATCCAAAGAAAGGCTAAGCAGCTCTTGCACCGTACAGCGCTACGCCTGTATGGAAGTAGCCTTCAGTGGGAATATAATCTGGAAAGCAAAAGCAAGCGTGTGAACGGGAGATTCACCCAGCGTTAGCTCGCACGGACCAGTGCTGTGGGATCACGGCAGTGCTTACTGAAACACCAGGCACCCAACGCACGTGCATGTATTGATTCAAGGCAAGACCAAACCCCAATCGAATTATAAAACATCTTTAGTTGTATTAGCTCAAAGAGAAATAGAATTAAAAAGCAACCGCAAGGCTAACCATGTACTTTATCTGGAAAACTGAGTTACGGCGTATCGAGATGTCAAAATGACAACAACGTGGTGACACTGCGGGGATTCATGTTGCACAGGAGGGCCATCAGTCCGCAGCGGGGCTGAGATGGCAACTACAACGCGAAAAGCGTTGGGAAGATCACCGCGCTCAGGAAGTTTTTGCATTGGAAGGTTGTGTGCTGCAGCACCGTGTACTAGAGCTCAGTGCATGAACTGCCCTCGGCTGCTCCTCCAGGAAGAAATTGGGCAGGAATGAGAGTCTGGTGCTGGGGCACAGGCCGAAGTGGTGGTCCAGGGTTCTTGGTTAGGCTGGGATTGTCTCTAGGGGTTCGTGTAACGCAAACCGTGCACACAGTGACCACTTTTACTGTAGCTAGTTGCTGGTCACCCCTACTTTCTTTTTAGAGATGCTGATGGGAGGGTGTCCTGGGGGAAGAGGAACTTCGCGGTGGGAGCTTTCCCCAGAAAAACGCTCGTTTCTCTTCTGTAGGAGGATATCCGTGTTCCGGGCAAAAGATCCTCACCACAACTACTCTAACCAGCTGACAAAGGAGCAGGACAGGAGAGGGCAAGATTTTCATTTGGAGACTTCTCTTCCTCCTGTACAGCAACGACCTTTTGAATACTTGTCACTAACGCCATGCCAGCCCTTTCAGTAACAACGGGATCAATAAAAGGGAAACAGGGGAAAACAGGACAGGAAGGTCAAGGTCCTACCCAATGCATTCCATGATTCAGGGTTTAATTATACAATGTGCTTGAATTTATAATGAATGAATTTATAATGAATTTATAATAATTAGCAGTGGCTAATTACATTCCATGATTCAGGGTTTAATTAGACAATGTGCTTGAATTTATAATGCACTGCTAATTATGATTCATCTGTCCAATTTAGCAATCCCTATTTAACAACAAAACCAAAACAAACACACAAACCCCCCCCCACAACCCACAAACCTTACCTCAATAGAAGAGTGGGAGCTAGAAGGTAATGGGAACGGAGTAACGGCCATCTGATTGACTGCATCTTCACTTCTGGAAAACACACAAACAATAACATGCTACACGCTAAAACGTAATGGCCAAACTCTTCTTTTGGCTTGGTTTTGCCCATGAAGAAAATACTCTTACTAGCATAAAAGGTAACTTACTCTTACCAGAAATTAAAGCTTAGAAAAGCACTTCATTTTTGCTTTTTTTTGGCTAGCAAACAGATTACATTCCTTCTTGGGACCACAATAGTTTCATCTGGGGCATACTGACATGACATTCTTTCAAAATCTAATTTTGTGTGAATTATCAGGGGAGGCAGTTGGAGTATATGGTCACTGCACATCAGCAGATGTGCTAGTACTTCGTTAGCCTCTTCTAATAGCATCTACATTTGTAAACGGCTTGTTTACAGTCTAGCATTCACATCACTGAAATGTAATACCTGTTTTACTACAACAGATTTTTGTTCATATTTGCTGTGGTCTTTTCTAAAAGATTCAATGTAAAAACCTGGAAGAACTTTTACAAAATATGGGGAGGAAAAAAAAAATCCAGATGAACACTGACTCCCCCCCTACCTAAAGTGCATTATTTTTTGAAGATGCTTATTATGTATGGCATCTTGTCCTCTACAAAATGCATTCCTAAGTCAACATCTGATTACTTTTTAACTTTCAAAAGTCTTTTTTATATTAAATAGCATTCCGCCTTGCTAATGTTTTTCCTCAACAGCCACTGAAAATTATTTGGCTTGTGGAATTAGATCTGTGGGTTTTTGGCCTCTGTAAAACTGAATCACGCAAAAGATTTCGGTGATACTGTTTAAGGCAAATCTGGGGCATATTAAAAAAAGACTCAAATTTTGCTTCAAGAGCTGGACTGATGAACCTCTTTCTTTTTGGGGTGAACAGAAGCCAGGAACATGATGCAAACCTCATTTTGCTAAAGATTCATACTACCATGGAGCCGCTGCTTGCCAAAACAAGAGAGGAGGAACCAGTGACTGCTGCTTTGCAGATAGAGAGATTGAGACGAAAGCAAATGACCTCATGCAGTGGGTGTTCCGAGCTTGATTTCTGATTTACCTGCCTTCCAGGTCACCAAAACACAAGCACAATTTTTTCCTCTTTAATTTCTGGAATAAAATATTAGACTAGTGTGTGTTTAAAAAACATTTTATAGAAGTGTCTGGAAGAAAAAAAGTCTCATTTTATTCCTCAAGAGTTAAACACGAAGCTAGGATGTTATGATCACTGAAAGACAAGGCTGCTCTCAGCAGAGCAGCGTATGGGAAATTCAGTCTCAGGCATTTGAAATGATAAATCCTGCAGGCAAAGGTTGGTGAATTCATTTACTTATCTTCAACCAAACAGGATAGAATTCAAAGGACTCGGTTCTGTGCTGTTCATTTTTGTGCCTGCTCCCAGCCTCTCCTCTTGGCCCTGTTCAAAGCCTTGCCAGAGCCAGAAACCGTGCTAAGATCAGACCCGGAGCGGCCCCGCGATGCAGACACACGTGTGCACAGGGCCAAGGAAATCTGAGGAACGCACAGAATCAAGCCCATGAATTTCATAAGCGTTTCACAGTTTCCAAGTGCATTTTACCCTGTAAGGCATATTAGGCAACACCATTTTTCCTCCTCTTATCTTCACGAGACATCAATCTAATTATGTTGCTTTTCTAACCTGTAAGGACAAACCCCCAAATGTAAGGTGTCCAAGGGTCCCAGCAATTCCTACTTGACCATAACGACTTTTCTGCCAACAGCTTACATGAAGCACACACAGCATGAAGACTACCAGCGCTTCTCTGGCTTACAACGCACGCGGCGTACCTCGCAATTCAGAGCAAACTTGAAAATAACGAGGTATGTATGCACTTTAAGAAATACAATTCAAAAATTGCTAAACAGAAGCTTCACGATCTGCATGATGAGGTGGGCTGTAATTAGTTATACAAATTAGATTGTACACACAAAATGGTCTTTTTTTTTTTTTTTCCAATCACTGGGCAAACATTTTTATGCAGTTTTAAATGGATGGCCATTTTTATTCCAAGCAAAAAAAAAACCCACAACCAAAACACTTAGAGTAACTCCTTAGGAAAAAAATGCAAAAATTAAAAAAAACAAGGCTACAAAGTGTCACAACTTGTAATCTCCCCCTGCTAGGACTCGTACATATTTAGATACTTTAATGCTGCTTCAAAGGAGAATACTTCAAAGCAGAATGAAAGTGGGAACATATTTTAAAGTGACAGATCTAATAATAAATTGCTCTTTCTGCTCTCCACTTCCACAAGTGTCCTCAACTCAAACATGCATTTATTTACAACCAAAAGGAGCAATCACTTTCTTTTGATGCTGGAGCAGACAGCTCGGAAGTCTGAACATCATATTCCAATCACAGTGCCTGCAAATGAGCATTCAACGTGTTTGCCAATAGCTGCTACATAACCACCTCCGAGAAAGCTGTTCTCAGCTACCAGCGCTCAGCATCGCTTGGGGTTACAATGCCAAAACCCTTCGCAGTCAAGACACAGCTTCATCCTCGCAGGGTCACAGCGACGCACAATGCGATTCGTGCGGCGGGGAGGCTCAGGCGCTCCCCCTCCGCTATCTGGGGAAGCGACAATCATCCACCGCTCTTGTTCCAGCTCCCGTACTGGTTTGTACGGGATGCTGGGATGGCAGCCCGCCTCCTCGCTGAGCTCGTGCATCAGAGAGCAGATTATATTTCATCAGTCACATATAAACTGAATAGGGAAGGAATTCATCACTCCTCCCACAAACACTTCTATTGCTTCTGACCTCTCAGGAGGAGTTTTTGGGCAAAAATGGGGATTGGACCTGCTGGGGGTTAGAGTGCCTATTGCTTGGACCAACATCGCCAACTACAGCTCGATACTGAAGAAGCAAGAAGGTTCCCTCATTGCAAAGGGTCACAGGAAGCAAGATCAAAGCAATACGTAAGTGGCAAAGACCCTTCCAACTTCAGAAAAGCTCATACCCTTTCAGATTTTTTATTAGACTGAAAAACTTTACTACATTTTACTTCCTTTCTAGCCTAGATGGGACTCCTGGACATTCCCTGTCCTTCCTCACTGACCAAAGAGAAGAACTTCGGACGTTTTGCTCCATCTAACAACTGCATCTCTGGTAAAGGGGGTGATGTGCAGCTTAAGCAAAGACAAATACAGTTATTACTGACTAATAATTAACTACCATAAACACTTGGCACAAAAATAAAAGCCTTAAGAGAGCAATATGCAAATATAAAACTAAGGGGATTACTCATTCCACGCTGCAGCAAGTAAGCCTGAAGGAAAGTTGAAGTTGTGTGCCGTAAGGCTTCAGCTAAGCTGCCCTGCAACGCTGTGCTGCGCTTATCAGAAAGCGGTCTCTGGCACTTGGGAGGAACGTCACTCCCAGCTGGAAGGGTCTATCCAGCATTCAGAAAGTTATCTTCCTACAGACAATAACCAGAGGTCACAGCCTCAGCCAAATTCAGGGGCTTTTATTTGCTCATCAACCTCACACTTCTAGTTCTTGAATTCAGGTTCCCTGCCTTCCTCTGGACATTTGCTGTTTGCCATTTTACTTACGTCTCCCAGGTTTGCGATGTTACAATCTCGCTGTCATGCAACGAGCACGCTGAAGGAGCTTCGGTAACCTGTCTGAAGCAGAGCATCTTGCCCAAGATAGCGTCCCAACTTCTGCGATCAGTGCACAATCGAGACAAATCCCAAACTAGATCCACTCAGAAGGGCAATTCATCCCAGCATCTAGATGACCTAATTCAGGACAGGATGGACTGAGTTGCTCTTTGGAGGCTCCTGACAACTACTCACCTATCACAGAAGTCCAAATGACCTCTAGATGTCTGAAGTAAGGGAGATGAAGCTCCTGCCAAACTATCTGCAACTACGCACATCATCAGCACAAAAAGATATTTGACAACAGCTTTGTAAGGGGTTGTGATGCTTTTTGGGAATACAAAGGCCATCAAGAATCAGTAGAAAAACCCAACAGCTTCATAGAATCAGGGAATGGTTTGGGTGGGAAGGGACCTTAAAGCCCACCCAGTTCCAACCCCCCTGCCATGGGCAGGGACACCTTCCACTAGACCAGGTTGCTCCAAGCCTCATCCAGCCTGGCCTTGGACACTCCCAGTGATGGGGCATCCACAGCTTCTCTGGGCACCCTGTCCCAGTGCCTCCCCACCCTCTCCGGGAAGAACTTCTTCCTGATATCTAATCTAAACCTCCCCACTTTCAATTTAAACCCATTACCCCTTGTCCTGTCGCTATAAGCTCTTGGAAGAAGACACCCCTCCCCAGCTTGTGTGGAGCTGAATGCCATCTTAGTTGGAACAGATCTGGAGAGCAAGTGACTGAACAGTGCTTGCCCAGTAACCCTTAGGACTCCCACTGGTTGTGACACCAGGGCATAAATTCCTGCAGATTATTGAAAACCTGTAGTGCCCTCATCCTATTTGTTAAAAAAAAGAGAAATCAGGCCAGAATCATGTATCTTCTCATCTTTGTTTTCCACTAGATGTTCCTTTGGAAAAGAAAAGCTGCAGGGATGTTGCACATTGAAAAGGCACGCTGGATTTTTGCTTCAGCTGGGTCAAGGCAAGACCTTTGTGCATTGTGCATCTTCTTGAAAATTATCTCCTACTAACAGCAAGAACAGTCTTGTTCTCCATTTCCCCGCCATCCACTCCGAACCGTGTGAGAGCCAAAGCCATACGGATATTTGAAATGAACAATTAATGTTCATATAAACTGCAGCTTAGGTCATCAAAGGGTTGAAAGGGCCCAGATTACTTAACTTCCTCCACCGTGCACTTGTTCCCACATGTGTGTGACAGCAAGGAGGAAACAGCCCTGAAGAAAACAGGAAAAGTTCAAACTTGCACACACAGTGCCTGGCAAGGGCTTATTTTTCAAGCTTTCCCACATGAAAGAACCTAAACAATCAAAGCAAGTAAAACCAGTTTATACTATTAAAGTACGACCAATTGTCATAACGCAAAACCGATTTCTAAACGACAACGTTTCAGACTCCACACTCCACGCTGCCTATAGAGGCACTGAAGGAGGAGGAAAGACTCGTGACAAAGTCACAGCGAGGGAGGGTGCACTGAGAACTGGCCACCCAGCCCTCGCTTTACCATCCTGGGAGTATCAGGATGTCTCCTTTGCGCGTCACCGTAAATAACAAGGGATTAGTCTTTACAATTACACCCCGAAACGGGAGGAGGAGTTAGAGGAAAGAGCTCTGTGGGCCTCACTGAGAAGCCACAGCCCCATCACCAGAAAGCAGCGATAACAGAACGAATGACTGCAGTGTGGGAGGACGGCTCTGGACAGCCAACAGATGGTATTTAAATAAGCAAAATCCGTCTGTACTTTATTCTTGAAGCTTTTCTCACGTTTCATCACAGCACAAGACAATTTTCTTTGAAGGAATAAAGGTATACCAAAGAATGAATCACAGAACCGAACACAATGGGATGATGGTTTGAAATCAGTGGCATTCACTTTGATTCAAGCCTTCAAACTATATTTGATCTGTTTATTATCCCAACACTGAAGCACCAAAAGAGATTAAAGGCAGCTAATTGAGCAAGGAAAACACATTGAATTTGCTGAATCATAAAATTCTCACTGTAAAAGAGCATTCTGATATAAACTGGATTTCCTACTGCAGATGTAAAATCTAATTATATTGTTTTATTATGCATCTTAAAAGGACGGACTTACAATGCCTGAACAAAACCCACTGTGGATACAAAACCCATTCTATTTTGGGAACTAGGACACAGGGACTCCTACAAGAAACAAGATTTCTCAGATTGCTGTTGTGGGAGACTCAGATCAAGAATTTCAAAAGGCAACTGAGACCTTTACATGCCACTAATTTCCAGTAACGATTCCATAGCAAGAGGCCTCTATATGCCTTGGAAGGCTGCAGTCAAATTACTATTTATTTCTGATATTCAGAAATCAAAAGGCCAGCCCGTACTCGCTACGGTAGCCTGGAAGTTATCGCAGCAGCTGTCAGACTTTGAGGTCAGATGAAACGCGACTGGACACTAATCACAGGAAGCACTCGGACCGAGCCATTTCATCTCAGGAAAATCTTGCCGTGCCCGAGCAATCGGTTTGTTTGTTTGTCAAACTGGGTGAGCAGGTTAAACGCCTTCAAATTCATAACTGCAGAAGGGTACAAAGCACAAGACACTGAATAAAAAAAAAAGTAAAGTGACACTGTAGCTGCAAATCTTTTAGATGTTATTACAAGCTTGTGTAATTAATGAGACTACTGGGAAACAGTGCTGTGTTAAGACCTGTATTTTGGAATCTGGCCAAAATCAACTGTTTTAAATAATCATCATCAACTTAACTGAGGGAAAGATGCTTATAAACCAGAGCGAGAAGCCTTCAAATGCAAGGGGACATCTATGACTCTCACAGCCCTTACTGCACTATGTCTCATCAGCAAAAATTGCAGGAAAGGGTGGGAATGCAATTGTAACACTACCTGGGTATAAAAAAAAGTGTGAACAGATTTTTATAGCACAGACGGTAAATTAGGATTTCAGTAAAAGGTCAAAAAGGCTGAGGACACCTCCTATTCTTAATTTTTTCCTAGAAAAAGTAAACCTGGGGGCAACAAAAATCCAAGTTATTTAATGATAGTTATTACACTTCTCACAGAAAGGCCTTTCTGTGCCCAGGAATTTCTGGGCTTCTTTTGTAACTGATTAAAGAGTTTATGGAAATATCTCCCTGCCCTGCACGTGAACCAAAACACCAGAAATAGGAAAACCTTGATGCCGTTTCCTGCTTCAAAGTGAAAAGCAGCATGCTTATCGCCGAGCATCCTTCATCTGAGGAAAATAAGGCCTCAGGATATCAAAGAGGGCACTCAGTAATAGCCCAAGAGTCCCACCAGTTTTGCTTTGATGTCCTAGGTCAGCTCAGTCAGGCTTGCAGAAACTTGTTAGGCGGCAGAACAACTTGTTTCTGGAAAACTCTAACCTACTCAGGCCTTTCACTGGTGAAATTGGAACATTAATATCTTCGTGCACATGAAGACCAAACCCATTTCTCTCACAACTGCTGCTGTACACATTATTTTGCTACGGTGAGCTGTGGCCTCCTCTCACCGTGTGCTCCAGGGTGTGTTTTGGCTACGTTATGCTACGGGACTTCTACCTTTAGAAGAAGTTGCCTGGGTAACGGTGCTCAGGGGGAAGAAAGTAGTATTTCTGTTGCAAGCGGCTCCTCCTCATTTTCAAAGCATCACGAAGGTAACTGTATCCTGCTCTTTCCACACCACTGGGGCCCAGAGGAACACATCTGAAATCAGCCAGGCAGCAAACCTACCTGGAGTGCCGACTCCTTGTTCTCTGCTGGAAGAGCCATGGCACACGCACATGGGACGGATGGAGGTGCAAGACGCCTGTGGCTGCTGGTTTTTACTGCAGCTGGCACCACAATGCATTAAGTAGGGGCGTTTCAAAACCTCCATTTTATATTATAATTCTGAAATAAGTTGATAAAGCAAGCAAAAAAATTTCCTACCAAACTGCCCCCCACACGAGTTCCGTGCCGGCACAGTCTTTTGGTTCATGTTTTCAATCCCATCCACTGGTTTTGTGGTTTAAGGTGTAGGAACGGGAAACACCAAGATAGACTGAGCTCATGGAATATAGTTTGTATGAAAAAGGATTATTCTCCTTAAAATTCACCCTTAAGAGAGACAGCCTGATTTAGAATCATAGAATGGTTTGGGTTGGAAGGGACCCCAAAGCCCTCCCATTTCCACCCCCTGCCATGGGCAGGGACACCTTCCACAGACCAGGTTGCTCCAAGCCTCATCCAGCCTGGCCTTGGACAATTCCAGGGATGGGGCATCCCCAGCTTCTCTGGGAACCTGTCCCAGTGCCTCCCCACCCTCTGTGGGAAGAATTCCTTCCTGCTGTCCCATCTCAATCTCCCTCTTTCAGTTTAAACCCGTTACCCCTTGTCCTGTCAGCCCCTGCCCTTGGAAAAAGTCCCCCCTCAGCTTTCTTGTAGCCCCCCAGGCACTGGAAGGGGCTCTAAGGTCTCCCTGAAGCCTTCCCTTCTCCAGGCTGAACGCCCCAACTCTCCCAGCATGTCCCCATGGCAGAGGGGGTCCAGCTCTCGGAGCATCTCTGTGTCCTTCTGCTGTTGGGGGCCCCAGAGCTGGACACAGCACTGCATGGGGGGGTGTCACCAGAGTGGGACAGAGGAGGAGAAACACAGCCAAGAGCAGTGACAAGATGTGTCCTCTTGGGAAGTGTGAAGACACAAGTTTACAACTGCAGCAGCATTTAAAAACAGGAAATTTTTTTTTAAAACTCTAGAAGAAGCTTACGCTCTCTGTGCTGCCTGACAGCACTAAACCCAGCCCTGGGTTCTGGTTTCCTAAGCTGTGTTTCTGCCTTTGAAGCTTCCCACCAGACACATTCTCCACATGCAATTAAGTAGTGGTGAGTGAGTTGTTGTACATGACGTTTAATTTTCAATAGCTAGGGAAAGTAACACGGGAGCTGCAGGCAAGATCATTAATCTCCTCCAGATCCTCTGTGCTGCCAAGCACAGCAACTCATTCTTCACTGCACTAGCGCTGCTCTTCCATCACCCCTGCGTACGCTGTACTAGACGGAGCCATGCGAGTACATGTACACATTTACATGCACGCACCCACAGATTATTACACTGTTCACAGGTAAGCGGTGCGTGAGCGAAGGATATAAACCACCGTCAGGTATGATGTACACGCTGGGGGGAAGACCACAATATAGAATGGCATGGGGATAAGTGCCCAACGGAAGTCACAGCTGGAAAAGATGCATTTATGAGATTCTCATATATTAAAGCATATATGAGTTCTGGGAAAGAGGCAGCTTCTTCCCAGACCTCCCGCCCAGGGCCATAAGAGTAATACTTCCTGAACTACAGAGCGAATGCATGGAGGTGTCCTTAATTGACACGTAGAGAGGAAAAATTTCCATGCTTGGAATAAACGAAAAGGTGCCCACATGTAATTCTTAGGCAGATGAAACAGTGTTTTAGCATATTCCCTCCTACAGAAACCATCCCAGTGCTCCTTGTCAAAGTTTGGTTCCCCACCCATAGAAATGAGTCCTAGCTCTCCTTTTAAATCCTCTTTTAACGCTCACCAGCATTAAATAGGCATTCAATTACATCAGACTATTTTTAATTTACATTATTAGGGAGAACTCTTCAACAGTCCTGAGATAAAGAGTCAAGGAAAAGGCCTATTTCACTTCAAAAAGAACTGAGTTCAGCATTTGCAAAACAGGCGAAATGCGTGAATATGTAAGTAATAGGCTAAAGTGCAAACCAATGTTTTGATGCAAACTGTTCTTACCGTATGAAAACGAGCTTGACCTTCGATGGGGCAGTCTTAATGATTGCAGAGGCATTCTGATGACTTCTTCCATACAGTATCTGACTGTTTATCTGTCAGAAGAAAAGGTTTTCATGTGAGTGGAGAAGTATGCATTCTTTTAATTTATACCACCAAGACTTCCAAGTTTACGGCAGGATAAAGAGATAAGACTCAAAGAAAATGTGGTCCACAAAATATAAATGGCATTAACTTTCAAGGTTCTTACACACAGGAATATTGACGCTGCACTGATGAGCACACCTATCTGTACAGCGTTGTAGAGACAGAAATACCAGAGCTGAGGCACTAGGAGCTTCTTCCAGGCACAGCTGGGCTGCAGGAAGACACCGTATGGTAAGCACATAGGAGATGGGCACTGTTCAACTTGGCCTTGGACTGCCCAAGGCTGTCACCCCTCCCCTCAGCCGACTACCAGAGGATGGGGTGTAGTCTGCAACTCAGCAGCAACAATTTTGGCATTTCTCATCAGCTTTCTTACCATTCCTTTTCAAAGGGTAACTCCTAATTTGATTTTAAGAAGATCCTGTTTCTCATACTGATTCCATGATGGACCACAGAATTGCAGCCTTAGAATGGACATTAAGATATTATATTTCCAACATCCTGGACTCTGATTTATCAAAGAAAAAATACTGGAGTAATAGCAAAACATTCCAAGTTTTATCCTAGACCAATATAAACCAGAAACTAATGCAGAGCTAATTTAGTCTTACTGTTAAGCCACAGATGACTCTTTTTCGCAGATCCATAGAATGGATTTTAAGTGTTGTTTCCAAACTTATGGAAAACAACTTGATCTGGGAAGAACCATATAGGCGTGACAACAGCACAGATTTTGAAACAGACGCTCCTCTACCTTACCTACGGGCGACTGGCAGTTCAGGAAAACTTGCTGTTAAGACTGTGCTGACTCCTCAGTTCTGCTGAAGGAAACAGAACTGACAGCCACGGAGACAAAGGACAATTTAAGGACGTGCCACACCACTTCTGCTGTGATGGACGAAACACCTAAGCACAGCAACAGACACCAAGTACTATTTTGGACACTTTTGCTGCTGCAAGCAGATGCTGCAGTTTTCAGAGCGAAATAGCTTGGCTTTAACACAGTATGTGCTTCAGGACTTTTCTTTCTGTAGGAACTTTCCCAGTTTGAGGAAAAGAAGATGCATCTGTCTGCCAGTACCATCCTCAGTGAGAGTGAGGCTTCAGCAAGGAAAAGAGCATCTCCAAGGTGAATATAGTACCTACTTCCAAGCCAACCAAAAATACACTCAGTATCGTACCACAAAAACAACCTGCAGCGTAAAAATGGGATATTTAAAGCATTTAATTCGTTTCACAGACAGAGCTTGTTTTAACACCATGCTCCACCTCAGCCTGTACGCAGTGCCCTGAGTTTCTCGGGCTCCAGCTCCCCTTTGTTAATGCCTGCCCCCCTCAGAGGTATGCTAAGAGGATGCTCACCCTTCACCTCTGGCATTGCACAAGCTACAGCCATGAAGATCATATGTAGAACACAAGGTAGATATTAGTACCACAACAAATTTAAAGAAACAAAAAGCTGAGCTGAGTATGATGGGGGAAAAATCCCACTATGTCAAGAAAACTGACACTGAGCAATCTTCTTGAGCAGTTTCTTAGTTGTGCCCTGACGATTTACAGATTTAAACCCAAGCTGAAGCGAACATCCAGCAAGGTGGTGAAGGCAGCAGGGAGCAGGATACCAGAGCTGTCTTCCTTCAACTTCAACAATTCAGACTGCAATAAGCATCAAGATAACAAAAATCTGTGGAAGAACAATAATGTTTACCTACACCTGAATAACTGTAAACATAAACACAGAATCCAATGCTACATTTAGCATCTTGTATTTTATCCAAAAAAGAAGGTGAAACTTTAAAGATGAAGAAAAAGAAACGTTGAAATCAATATATTTGGAGTCATGACGTTGGTTCAGGTTCCCGGTTCAGCTCGTCCCGCCTCTTGCCATCCAAGCAAGCATCAGAGGCTTCCAAGCATGCAGAATAATCTGCTATTCGACTCCGCCACAATTCTCACTCCAAGCATCTTGATTAGATTAAAGCACCTCTCCGGAGCTGGGGCGTTCTCACACCCTTCCGAAGCGAGCAGCCAGCTTCATTCCGATAAACGCAATTTTTTTCTTCCCACTCTTCATTTACAACGTAATATTTACATTCACATTCGATACACCGATGCCGTTTAAAACAATAATAATGGAGCCCAGGAACAATTTATAAGTGATTATAGAAGGACTTTTTGTTACTGAAAATGTTTGTCTTGGATTTTGGTTTTGTGTTCCTGGAAGATTTTTTTGCTCACAGAAGAAAGACCTGGCCAAGCCCCGTGTCACGCAGGCTGTTGGCTCCTACTGGCACCTTCACAATACTCCCACCTTGCTTTCCATAGGTCAGACAACACGCAAGTTCATCAGTTAAACAAGGACAAGAATGAAGCCCCGAACGCTCGGCTACTGATGAAGATGGAAGAGAACCATTTCCCTGCCAAGCTCCTACCGTACAAAGGGAGAACCAAGGAAGGCCTGAGAGCCTGAGCTGGCGTGAAACGATTGGGCTGAGGAGTCAGCATCGCGCTGACGTTCACAGGGGGTGAATGTGGTGCTGCCTACAACCACCATGGTCGCAAAGTCAGAGCAAGAAGCAACATCCGAGGCCACGCTTTGTCAGTCAAAGGTGAATTAAAAAACCCGGTGGCAAACACGAATGCTCGGCTGCATTCGGGCTTCAAGCTGGACCTGAAGCTTTCAGCAAGTTTGTTGACTTAATTCTTCTGAAGTTCAAACACAAATTATTCACTGTATGCTTTACAAATTGTTTGGACTTAGTTAAATTACCATCAATTTTTCTAAACAGCAGACTTCTTGGATTAAAATTTATAGTCTTTACCCTGGTTAAATTAATCCTATTCACTAGATGTATCAAATAGTCCAAAATTTAATTAGCTGTGAGCTGGGTCTGTAAGTTATAATTATTTAATTACACCAAAATGAAAGGATAATCAAAGTAATATATCTCCATAAGGTTTTGGCCTGTCTCACATAGTTATTACTGCCAGTATTATTTTTTCTCTCTTTGTTTTTTTTTTTTTAAAGAAAAGGTCCCTTTCTTTTGCAAAGTCAATTAATGTTCCGTTAGCTTCAGACACCACAGCGATAAGCCAAGCACAAATCCTACTGAAATAAAACACAAAAGAGAACATCTAGGATTTCATAAGCCACACCATTTTAAACCTTTCCGATTAAATAAAGTGACACATTAGAGTAACCAAAACGTACTCTGGGGGTCAAATCCCATCAATCTGTGCTTTGCTTTTTTCATTTGAGATTAGAAGAGGAAAACAAAGCTTTGACTAAGAAAAAGAAATAAACCTATCTAAATGAACCTCAACTCTTCTCTGAATGTCTCTTTACGTAACTTCTTGGAAAGGCAGCAGAGAGCGGAGGAAGATAAACACATGCGACAGGCCTGAGGTCAGGGCAGCACACTGACGCTCAGTCTTTGATATAACCCCGCACTGCCTCGCAGCAGATTTTATCACATATCCCAAACGTACCGTTGCCTTCACCTACGCAAGTTTTGCTTTACAGTTTCATAAGCTAAAGTAGCAGAAAGTACAAACTCACTGAAATCTGAACTCTTAAATTAAGAGAAAAGAATTTAGAGGGTTGTTTGCTTCTCAAACTTTAATTTGCAGAAGAGAAACATTAGATATGGATATTAAAAAAAAAAAGAGCACTGTTTTTACTATGTGGCAGTAATGGAAATCCATAAAATTAGTATCATCTGATTTTTATGAAAATCAAGTTAAATGATACCCCAAAGCTAGTAAAAGAACTGGCATGGCTTCCTACAATAGTTACTTCTTTGTGCCAATGCATGAGGTTCCTTCTAACCACAGGAATTGTAGCATTTCGAGATACAACCAGACTCTGAAACAACAGGAGGTTTCAAAAACCTCTTGATCAGTCAAATCATCTAGACTGAAACCCCATAAAATACACCCAACCCCCCCAGATAATAAAGCATGAGAAAACCCTGGAAAGAAAAGAATAATTAATTAGAACATGAATTCCTCCCCCACCGAATTTCTCGCCCGGCACATGTTCAAACACGCGCATCACCTAAAGTGATCGACATCTCCTGCCCCACGCTGCAGTCCAGCTCTGCCGATGGCTCGGCAGGCGGCTCATCCCGCCGGCCCCCGCCTGGAGAGCCTGGAAGGAGAACCAGGACGACGGAAAACCACGTGCTGCCTGCGCTCTCGTGCACAACCAGCTTCCTGACCACCGCTCTGCCTGACCTGCAGCCTTCAACGTCACCACCCAACAGCAACCTGAGCTGGCAACCGCCACGCAAAGGGCATGGGAAAAGTGTTTGCATCCGCCTGAGAAAAGGCCAAAAGGACACCGTCCCTCACCCTCACCTTCCGTAAACGAATCGGAGAGGGACAGAAGCCATGGCTATCATGTTCAAACAGGAATTAGAAAATTAAATCACCAGAGTTAATCATTCAAGACGACTCTTCTCGTGGAAAACCTCACCGCCCTTCCACGTTCAAGGTACTGTCCCTCCCGAGGCCACTCGCCTAATCCAAATTAACTGTCTCGACACACGAAGAACATAGCGATGCCACAACAAGTAAACCGAGACTAGAACACCAACCCCCACCTTCTAAGCCGGAAGTGGCACTGTGAATCTGGCTGGGTAGTTCATCTACCTGGCCAAATACTGGTGCCTCTCACGTTATTACAGTAGAACTTACAATTATCTAAGAATCTTCAAATACCAGTAAAAACACGTTTGTTACAAAAGCTCTCTGGCTTTGAGTAATGACAAAAGTGGCATAAAAAGAAGAAAACAAATAATTGCCTTGCACGCAACAGTCAGACCACAGGCAAACTTGTACAGCGATTCTTGACTACGCAGAGTAACCTTCGCCCTTTCAAGAGGTGCTGTGGCCTCCTAGAGCAAAACTTCCAGGCGAGCAGGCTCCTTTTTTGTCAGCAGGATAAACAAGGAGAGGAAGACAGTGGAAAATCCCAACATCAGTAATTTAGCGTAACGGGGCTCTGAACAGCTTGGCTTATTAATAGAAGGCAGTTGCCTCTTATGGAAAGACGATAATAACAGTAATAACAGAGTGGATTATTCAGTACGAATAAAACCTCCCAGCAGGACAGGCCCATGCCGAGTCGACAAGCAGCAGGGCTCAGCAGCACAGGTACAGCACCACAGGAACGCGCTGCGGGCCATGCTGGGCACCATCAGCCACAGGACGAAGCCCAAACTAATAAGACACGAAGCAGCGCAGACACCTGCACTAAAACAGCAAGACGGCAAGGCAGGAGCACCACAGATGGCTTCTTTGCTTGGAGAAAAGCACGGAAAAGCAGAACTTGGGTCATGCTAAAAATATCTTCTTTTGCACAGGGACCAATTCTGACCCAAGTAATTTTCTGCCATGTATCCAAGTGGGATGAAAGGACTGTCTTCCCAAAAAAAGTGTTTTCTCCAGCCACATCCCCATCCAAAATACATCAAAAACATATTAAAAAAATAATGATTACATACAGTTTTTTATGTGACCTGCATTTCGCTCAGCGTATAGGCTGACTTTGAAAACGAGCCACGAGCATGCCCCCAAAAGACTACTGCTTTTTGTAGGAGCTAAAAGTAGATGATATTTCATTAATTCAGTGAGAAAAGGTTTTATGAATAAGGAGCTGAGGCAGTCTGGCAGCGTCCCTCATCCTTCAATTGAATCCAATCAAACTCCAGTTCAAAAGAAAAACGGGGAGGTAATGTCTCTTGCTATCCATGTATCTCCATCCCACCAACCTCACCTCCACCAGCAGCCGGGGGAATCTGTACACGCTGCGACAACAGTAACCAACAGGCTACACTGAGGCACCCCAGGACAGTGCAGAAGGCTAGAGGCTTCCCAAGATGCGAATCCCTTCTCCTGCCGATACCCTCTAGTACTCAAACCTGACGTGTAACGAAAGATGCAGATGCAAACGTACCGAAGCCATGCCGTTAGAGGAGGGTGGTATGTCTGCTGACCAACAGATGAGAATACTGGGGAAAATGACCCCAAATTCTTAGGAATGAAGAGGCTGCAAAGTCCAATAGCTTTTTTTCTATGGGATAACCACATAGTTGAGCAGTGGGCAATGGCCAGCAGCTCAGTCTGCAGGCAAAGCAACTAAACACCCACATGCGGTAAAGCACTACCCAAAGGAAGAGAAGTTAAGTTGCTTCATCAGTAAAGACTGTCCATCCAGGTCTCTGAATGAGGCACTATGAATCGAGAAACCGTGGGTGAGACAAACGCTTCTGCCACAAAGATCATGCTCACAGTCTTTAATCGTATGTCTTCAACTGGAGGAAACCAAACAATCTGGATTCTGTCACTTCCTAACTTCTGGATGCTTGAGTTAGCCGTTAGTGCTGTTTTAACCTATTCTGTTGTAAAAGACACTGCAAGTAAAGCCAATTGACCAACTTGACCTCTGCATCACTGGCATGGAAGTAGCATGAAACCATACTGGGGATAGTCAAAAGCTGTCTGGACACAGTCCTAGGTAACCAGCTTGGGGTGGCCCTGCGTGAGCAAGGGGGTCGGACCAGACGACCGTCAAAGATCCCTTCCAGGCCCAAGCCCCCTGTGCTATTTGTCCCTCAGTGACCCGTATACTTGTCCAGCATGAGGATTCCTAATGGCTACTGAAATAACCTAGCTACTGACCTCATGGTCACTGGAAAACCCGCCAGTGTAAATGCCCATTAGTTCCATCTCAACAACCCTCACATAGGACTGAAATGCTTTTACAAGACAAAAACACAGAGCTGTGAATAACTGACCACTGGCGTAAATATGAGAGGCCTGTGCATGACTAATGCACAACGCGTTCCCCTGTAACACAGGATGCTTCGGCGCTGGGTACGTACTCGCTGGGGACCGGAATGGGATCAACGCATCCTTCCATAGCAGTGATGGCACCTCTGCCCACTAGTGACACACCTTTAATGTGGTCACAGTGGTAGACGAGAGGTGATTAAGGTCTTTTTCATCTTCACTGTATTTGAAGTTTGGCATTTTTGAGATGGTGAATAACACTTTCCTCCCACTGAAGAAAAAACATTGTTTTATCTCCAGCTTGACAGGGAGAGGATTTAGGGTGGCAATGCCACCACTTTGGCAAATGCTACATATAACATGGATCATGCATGTAAATTCTGAGCCTCGAGATATATGTGATTAATCACAGATGGTGCATCTCCCAAGTACTGCTAGCAATACTCAACATTACATCAAACACGGCAAGGAATAACTCGTGAGATATAGGAGAACTTCAGTGGGTCCTTCTTTGTGGAAAAGTATCGATACAAAAGGCTCTGCCTTTACCACAAACTACCTGGCCCACGACATGCACAGAGAAAAACAGCACCTGAGTCCTTCCAACTAGTATACACGCAAAACTTCAGAATTTTAGTGGTTTTTTATCATTAGCACTTGGTGCCAGGGACAGAAAGAACTTAAATTTGAAGAAGAAAGTAATTTTGCTACCGTACTCCAGTATGGTACAGACCTTCATACCATTTATCATAGTTAAGAAGCAAATAATAAACTTCAGATGGTGTTATTATTACAGCAAAACAAGTCTTTCTTGTACTGTGTGCACTGAAACCCCACAATTATGGAACTGTTAGACAATGACAAATGCTTAGACAATTCTGAGTACTTCCAAGGTATCCCCAGGCAGTCAGATTGCTCTTTCTCAAGTCAAGAAACGTGTGAAAATAGGTGGTTTTGTGATGGCACAGAGAGTTGCTGAAAGATCACAAAATCACCACCGATGGAGAGCAGTCGGTCAGCGTATACCTGCTCTTCAGCGAAACCTTCTCTCTAAAGGAAAGACCCCCAGGGACAGCTGACTTTTTTTAAACCACTGTAGCAATCACGACTTGGGGAAACACTGCAGGTACCACAGCAGAGAGTCATTCTGCAACAGCCAAAAATGAGATGATCTGAAGGTGAAGCAAGGAGATAGGAGAAAAAGTGAAGAAGCTCTTGCAAATGAGCTCTCCTGACTTGTGGGTTAATTTGTGCCAGACACAACTACAGAAAATAAGTAATTTAGGCTACAAGGCATCACAACAGATTACAGCACGAATGTTTTATGTTCGGTATGGGGGATATCCCTGTCATCTGTAAAAATACATAAGGTAACTTTAAGGGGGTCTTGGATTTTTAAATGTAAGGTGTGAATTTCCCTGTGAAACCACATATGCACTACAAGGACAGATTTACTATCCCCTTCCTGCCTTTCAACAGTCCCACCCTAAGCATAGCTTGCGAACATGCTGAGAGCACAGACTTCGTGGACAAGCCATTAGTTTTCACAGGCCAGTGATTTTTGTTTCACTGAAAACACATTTACCTGCCAAAGGCCAAGTTCTCAGTTGGCATAAATCCATGCAGCTCCTTGCCTCAGCCACCTAACTCCATTGCAGGCTTTACTTAAGGCTCAAACGATAGCTTCGCATATGCCTCTCCCTCTCTCCCTGTGAACCCTGTCTAGCAGGTGAAGGAAACACTCACCTCCAGAAGTTCATCGCCAATATGCATCCTTCCATCTCGCCCCGCCGGTCCATCTGGATTGATGCCAACTACAAAGATGCTCATACGAGAGCGGTCCTTGTTGCCGGCAAGACTCAGCCCAAGCCCATTTTTGTCCTTCTCAAGCTCAATAATGTGCAACTCTCCCGGTAGGTCTGCATATCTTTGCCTGATTTTTTCTAGGAAAAGCAAACATAAAAGGAGTTATAACGATAAAGTAACTTAAATGCAGATGTTCAAGAACACATATAAATAAACTAGAAATGGATGGCTTCTCAGCATTTACTCTGCTAACAAAGGTCTCCCAACACAGACTCTAAAATACCAATTGCCGGGCCTGTATCACTCTCACAGCAAAAGCAGCATCAGCTGCACACACTGTTGGCATTAAAACTGCTCTATTTTAATTACTTGTACAACAGGTTGGTTCTAGACCAAAAATTTTTTTAAAGGAGTGTAAAAAAGGGAATTTCAGAGGCACCTCACTCTTACCTTACAAAACCCATCAATTTCAGGACACTCTGGTAATTTAGAGCTGGTTAATTAACCACGGTGGGAAAGTGAAACCCTTAGGTTGCAAACATGCTGCAAGCTCACCCCTCAAGGTAGAACCGTGTACTTCTGCCTCTTTCTGGTGACTCAGGAATATGCTCACCACGCTCTGCTTAATGTCACGTGCTACTGCGCGGATGACGACTCAAAGCAGATGCCAGTGACAATGTACGTGATGGATTACATTTTTAAACAGAGCCTCGTTTGATATTAAGGCAGTTATTTGTCTTTCATCCACACTTCAACCATTCCTGTGACAGAGCGCAATAGACTCACAAAGTTATCTGGAGCACGCTGCGTGTCTGTGGATGCCGACAGATTAATCCGAGTATTTTTCACCACTGCCATACAAACATCTAACACTATTGCCTGCGAGGGTCAGTCACAGCAAGGGCAATTTTCTTCCTGTCGGATTGCCCTCTGCAGATTTTACAGCCAGCTTCATAACACCGCCTGCATTCAAAGCTTCAGCTGGGCCACACAGTAAAAAAAAGCAAGTCAGAGGATTTTGCTGTGGCTGGATGTCACCTTTAGTACAGAGCCTAAGGTGACAAACTGCTGCATTATGCATTGGAAGAGAAGTCAGAGATTTTATATGTTCAACCATATCCCTGAGTCAGCAGCAGCAGCTAGATCAATATTAGCTGCTACCATTCTACCGTATTTTAATACTATGATTTAACCACTCTAGTGAATGTTCCCATGACAACAAGGAAGAGGGAAAAGAGATGGGGAAGGTGAGAGGGAAGTAACTAAAAGCGAATAAAAACTGCTGAGAGAAGGACAATGAAGTAGAAGTGTTCTTTCCACAGCCCCTGTCAGGCTGCCGGGATGATTTAGCCAAACTTGGGTCCACTCCAGCACCTCTCCTCTCCGAGGGTCCTTCCCAGCAAATCGTTCAGCTGCAGCAGCCCCTCGTGCTTCAGTAGAGACGACTGGGACAGGGGGAGCAGTCTCCTGTCTCCAACCCCAGATGCACCCCCAGAGCATTACCTACGCTCCGAGCAACACGGACCCCCCCCCTCTCCCACCACTGTATTTACAGGCTGGTGTTTTCCTGCCGTGCTCCAAATCCCCGGTGGCCTGGAGCCTGAGCCTAAAATCCTGGGGGTGGATATTAAGGGTGAGATGTTATCCCTGGAAAGCTGTAAAGCCCTGCAGAGGTCTGCACAAAATCAGAACATCATAAAAAATTAGAAAACTCATTTGTTACTATCAATTATATGCCAAAAAATTCCTATAACTGCATTAAATGGTAATCCATGCAGCTGCACAGCTCTTCAATGTATTTCTTAACTAATGGGGTCAAAATGTAATTAGAGGTGTGACTGGCTACTTGAATTTGGAAAGTGTGTTTTTTCTGCTTAGTATGCAGGATGCCTCCTGCCAAAAACCAGCATGTGAGGAAAAGCCAGGAAAACAGCGCTTCGGGAAGTACAGCTGACACAAGCACATACGCACCCACCCGTGTTTCATCCACAGCGCCGAGGTTTAGCGTTCTTTTCCCATCAAGTCCAGACCTGAAGAGCACAGAGGCATTTCCTGCCCACCACAATTAGACAAACGACTCATTACAGCACAGCAAGTAGCTGCAGCGTATCCCGGCTCTAAGCATAGCAGCAGCAGCAAAGGGATTTCTGAGTGACTGCATTTGGTGGCCGAAGCACAATCTGTGCTCTGGAGGGGTGATCGTTGCTCTGACACGGTTCCTTCCGTTGCTTGTTTTACATGGACAACACATCCCACTTCCATTTGCTGGCAGCCAAGCAATGTCTAATGCATGTTTTAGCAACTCCTAGTGGGATGCACCGGAGAGAGGCGAAGGGGGCAAGGCGAACACACGCTCCGACGCCATACAGGGGAAGGGGCACATCTTCAGAGACCGCTCCAAAACTTGTTGCTTTGTCAGTAAAACTCCTCGAAACTCCGCGATGAGAGGGCGGTGCAGGAGCAGCTCAGTGATGGAGACATGGCTCCAGCCGCTCTCACAGCCCAGGGCCCCCTGAGATGACCAGGGTCAGTAAACCTGTAACTCTGCAGCGTTTCTGCCTGCCACAGCAGCACAAAATGTGTTTTCTCACATGGAAAAACTGTTAGCTGTTCAAGAACACATGTATATTCCTCTTCCATGCCAGGCTGAAACTGAAAGTGAGGTTTAGTCCTGCAAAATGAGCAGTCTGGGCAATTGCCTGGAGTGGGACAGAGCCCTGCGCAAGTTTCTGGTCTGCTTGCGCTGGGCCAGGACGGGAAACCTGGTGAGCCGCTGGCCAGCTCGGCACTCCAGCCACACCAGTAATCGCCCCGTTGGAACAATTCTCTGGGGAAAGACAAATTTATCTGGGCAGAAAGCAGAGACCCACTCCAGGGGTCATCGAGTGCTCTACTTGTTAAGACGACTTCTTTTCCTTTTTTAAAAAAGGTGTTTTTTTAAAGGGGTTTCCCCACTGGATGGTTTTGTTTGAAAATATCCACACCTACAATGGAGGATAACCTCTGTGTGGCCTAAGCCCTTCGTTAAACGATCACATTCATTTATGAAGCAGCTATTTGAAATGGCTGAGGTGCCTGGAGTGGTAAAACAGTGGGAGGCTAGAGGGGAAACAAGGAAGATGCTACATGCCGAGCGCCGCTTCCAGCCGGGCAGGAGGACACCGTTATCCGGTGCTGCCAGAGAGGACGCAAGCTTGTGTGTACGTGTTCATGCATGCAGGGACAAGCAGAGACACCCCTGCTTTTAAATCCAAGCCTCTGCTCCCTGAAGAGCAGAAGGTCCTGGCTCTCACAAGCTCCACCTCCTGCAATTAAACACTTCCAAGGGCTGTCCTCACCAGCCAGCCTCCCGTGTAAATGATAACGTGCTATTCCCAGCGGTGCCCTATCCTTCCTCATCCAATCTGCATACAAATATCCTTTGGGCATCCAGCTGACTTCCTATAACACTGTAATCGTATTCTCAGTTTGCCTCTTAATAACAATCTCATAAGATTATTTTAAACAAGTATTTACTGCTTAAACAAACGTGCATCCAAGGCATCTTCTTTTTAATGCCTTTTTCAGCTGGTTTTTCTCCCCTCCAGCTGGTATCACTTTTCAGTTCTCTGCCTAGCATTGGGGAGCCAGTTAGCATCTGCTTTTGCAAAGAATTCCATTATCTGCCTTCATTACCAGATACTTTACACAAGGCAATTGTAATTCTGTTGTTGCTGCAGTACACATGGGACACGGCGTTTCTTGTTTTGGCACTACACGTAGCTGTTTCCATATTCGGTGACAATATGCCTATCACAACTTCTGCAAACAGATCTCACCAACAATATTTGACTAGCTAAGGTTGCATCCAGTGTCTTTTAAAAACGCTACACGGATGTAACGTGAACTAAAAGCAGAAGAATCCACCGTAGCGATCACTCCTGCAATAATACTTCCCAGTTATATTAGCAGACAATTACATTTCAAAGAGAAACCCTGGAAATGGAAGACAACTGCTTTCAAACAATATACTATTATGCTGCTGCATATGTTTCCCTGCTTCAGCCGCTATCCCTATTATATTTACAGAGAGAAAAAAGAAATAAATGGGGACAATATGGACAGGATATTGGAATTTGCATGATCTAGTGCTGCAACAAATACACAATTTATCTGCGCAGAAAAAACAGACGCCACTTCTCAGGAAGGCAAAAGGGTCTTTAAATTACAAAGATATATACAGCACTTGCAAAGGGCTGAGGAGCCTGCTTCCCAAACCTGCCGAAATCTCCAGTTAAATGAGCTGAAAGGGAAGATGTGTTTCTTTTGAAAATGGTGTCTCTGCGTAATGCAAATTCGAGTCCATCTAGAAAGGTAAGAGGAGGAAGGAAAAAGCTCTGGATGACTCAGCCCGGTGATTGGTTTTAGTACTAAATGCTCAATATTAAAACTGTCAGGGCAAAATACAGAGAAAAGAAAGGGGGAAAACACCACAAAAACAGACGACCGATAGTATTTGTGCATAGGAGGCAAAACTGAGGATTTTTACATCCCTCTCGCATTACCTCACGTAATGCTGAGCAACATATGCTGCCGTTTGGCGACTTTACAGTGGTCTCATTTATCAGCCTGTGTTCATTTTAATGGGTTTAGCTACCATTTTTATCACACAGCACATAACACGGTTACAGGCGCAGCCTGTTCTGAGATTACTGTGCTCAGGCAGCAGTACTGCAGCACCACAACCCCTGTTTTCCATTAGTATTGACAGATATCAGAATGCAGCCAGCATCCACTACAGAGCCAACCTTGCATATCAAACAACTAATTCTCTTCTTGATTTCACTATAAGCATTAAAAAAAAAAAAGGTAGGAAGTCCCTTGAAAGCTAACCCGAGAGCTGGGAGGGCAGCACGTCTAATTTACTGATTACAATTTACAAGAACCTAAATAAGCATATTGAAGGGACCATAATTGAACAAATGGGGTTTAGAACTCTCCCACTACTAATAATATAATAAGCTTATTGTTTTAATCTTCCCACTAGCCCTCTATTCAGCTCCAAGGAGGCAGACAGTTCTTCAAACCTTATCTCAAAAGCGATGCACTCGTCTCTTTTCATAAGCTTTAAACTGATAAAGAGAGAGAAGAGAATTTC